TGCGACGTAGCGCTGCCGGGCGGGGAGACCGGCCAGGCGACACTGTCGGGAGCTCGGGCAGCGACGCCCTCGCAGCAAGTGCCGGGGCTGGAAATGGTGCTGGGGAAGTGGCACATTGAAGGCTACAGCACCTGGGTAGTAGAGCCAGAAACTGCACCTGATGGGCACGGGGGTGGGAGATTTCTCTTCCCACCCTCCTACCTCCAAAGGGTGCCAAGCCTGCTTTTCCGCCAGGGAATTTCTGAGCAAGGCAGGGGAAGGATCTGGGCCAGGGCAGTGTGCTGTACCGCTGAGGTGCCAAGTGGGCTTCAGCGAAATCCCTCTTGCGAGACTGCGGCAGGGGAAGGAGCATTCCTAGAAGGCTCCCCTTCACTCCGTACTTTCTCTTTCCCCTCCACCCCTCGTCTGCCTCCCGTGTTTTCTGGTGTCCCTGATGAACAGACATGCACGCAGCCTGCTCCTGGCATGGGCCCCAGGTGCTTCCCTTCCCCGTCCTTTTCGTCTCCCCCTACCAGGCGGTCACCAGCTTTGTTGCAGGAACGGGCACCCGTTCGTGCCAACGAGGCAAGCGGCAGGAGTAAGGAGTAACGTGGGGCACTCATCTGCCAAAAGGATGCAACCCAGCAAACTCGTCACGTGCCAGGGCTGCAAGGGACGGCCGTGAAGGGCAGCCCTGGGGGACCCAGCTGAACTCTGCTCACGCATCTTTGTCTCTGCAGGAACCACCACAGCTGATTTGTCCTACAGCCCTGCGGGGGTGAGAGGACACCTGCTGGGACAGGGATGTTTAGAGGCTCTTTGGGTTTCAGTAGTTCAGTGGAGATGCTGCTGAGCCCTAGCTGAACAGACTTTCTTAAACATCTGGACAGCGCAGTCTCCTTTCCTAGCCAAATGCAGCAAGTGCAGTCTGTGAGGTGCAAGAAGCAGACAGAGCTTGGTTGGCTCGTGGCTGAACCGTGGCTCCATCCCTCTCCCCAGGTGACCAGATCCTGGCTGCTGGGTGCCAGCAAACCCTGCTGCCCCGCTCCTCCAGGCTCCAGCTCCCAGCCCCAGTTTTGCCAGGACACCAGAACCACCAGAGCCAGGGGCTCTGCTCGCTCTGTGTCCCCTTTTCCTTCACCTTTTGCCTCCCTCTGCTGGAGCAGCCCCCGTAACTGCGGGCAAAACGCCTGCTCCCACCTTACCCACCGACTCATCTCTCTTGGGATGGATTAGTGGCTCCCAGGGACTCCACATCACTTTCCGTTTCTCTCCCTCAGTGTCTGTGTTTCTTGATATGCCCCTGGTATGCTCCTCCACAGTCATGACAGCGCTTCTGAGCAGTCCATTCCGGTTTTCAATTTTCTGATAAACCAAATAATTAGGAGACGGCAACCTCTGCTCCATTACTGCTCCCCTGTTGGCTAAAGAGGGCTAACGGCACATCAGAGCATGACCCTTCAGCCTATTTCCTTTATCAGGCACTTTATTATATTAACACTGCTTGGCAGGGGTCCAGCGGGGAGGCAGCAGGGAGGGACGCCTGGCAGCACGCTGCAACCTGCACCTCTCTGCACGCTGCTCCCGCGGCTGTCGCCCGTCGACAGTACAGCCTGGGCGTCTCCATGGCTGGAGCATTTCTGGGCTATCCCGGACACTTCAGCAGCCCGCGAGCGAGCCCAGCAAACGCACGAAGCTCCCTAGGCAGCCCCAGCCCCGATCCCTGCTGGAAGGTGGGAATCGCCCCCCATCTTCCTCCCTGCACCCTGCCACGCACCCATCCCTCCCGGGAGGCGTTCCTCCCGGACGTCCTCGTCTCTTGACGTGCCTGTTGAGGCCAGCTTTGTCTGCAACATCGTCAGAAGAACGAAGACGCCAAAACAGAGGACAAACATTGGCTTTGAAGCTTCAGAGCTGCAGCCCTAATAACCAACTGCAGCCGCTCTGGGCTCTTCTCAAGGGTGCATCACTCAGGCTAATTGCAGGGCAGATCAGCGCCGCCTTTTATGGCGCTGTCTGCGCCCCATCCCT